ATATACATACATATATATATACATACATATATATATACATACATACATATATACATACATACATACATACATACATACATACATACATACATATAGAGAGAGAGAGAGAGAGAGAGAGAGAGAGAGAGAGAGAGAGAGAGAGAGAGAGAGAGAGAGAGAGAGAGAGAGAGAGAGAGAGAGAGAGAGAGATAAAAACCCTGTGCAGCAGATAATTATTGAAGGTAAACAGAGGAGGAAGTTTGAGACACACTGTTGTTAATTTAATAAGATCTTTTGAATTCTAAATAACTTACAGCAGCTGTGTGTAGGGTCGTTATGTGACAGCAGCACATCACATCAGTGAGCAATAACTTTATTGTTCATCCTAAACTCATCCTCAACCCGCACCGTTTAAGACAACGTGCACACCTATAGTTGACCATGTGAGCACACAAAGTTTGATGAAGCTCAGCTAGTCTCAGTCACTTCCCCTCTTTCCACAACTCCCCCTTCATTTTGGAAAAAGTCCACGAGTAGGAGAACCGGAACAAACTCAGCAGCAGTAAGCTCATCCGCCTGATTATATAAGTTGGTACGTTTGGGACGGTAAATGGTAAATGGACTGTACTTATATAGCGCCTTTCTATCTTATTTCAAGATACTCAAAGCACTTTACACTACAATCTGTGTCCTCATTTACCCATTCATACAACACTACTAGATCTCTACAATGTTAATTGAACAAATCATTCTGAGTGGAAGAGTTCAACAAGCAGCTTTATGCTTGTTCTTTTAAATTTCCTATACCTCCAATATGGCCGACACCCAGCTTGATGATGTCACACCAAAACATCCTGTGAAAAAGTACACCTTTTTAATGATTGTTGGCTTCTGTTGATTGTTGTAGTTCTAACATTGCTGTTATATAATAAAAAAAATCTATTTTTGTAATACATTTACGTTATTTAAAACTTTTTAATTTTCATGCGGCTTAGTTCGCTGTGGTGACCCCTGATGAAGGGAGAAGCCAAAAGAAGAAGAAAGAAAATTAAAGCTTTTTAATCAATGGAAGCTGAAATAGACATTTGTTTCATTGTTGATATTCGTCGAATGGCAAAATGGTTGGATTTGTAGTTTTTATTCTGTTTATCGTGATTACAGCGCCTTTGTGTTTTGACATGTTGGCCCCGGTTAATTGGAGCAGAACTCATTTTAGCACTATTGGCTGCACTCGTGGTTTTCTTTTTATTAGATAAAGCATCTGCAGGGAATAATTTCAGCAGGCTGATACTAAACAGACGACTAAACGCAGAGATCTGTAAGCTTGGTGGTGTGCAGGCTGTCATTTGATTTAGGGGAAAGTAACCCACTGAAAGTCATTTTAGGCTGATGTTTGGTTTGAATAAGTGCCTCTCGGTTGATAAATAAGTTTAATATTAAATGCTTAAAAGTAGCCTCCTCTCATAGTTTCCTATTTATTCAGATGACAAAAAACATGATCCAGTTTGTTCATCCCTCACTCCAAGTTTTACAAAACGCTCGAGCATCAAGGGTTATTTTAGTAGACTGTCAATATCAGGTTTAACATTTATTTAAGACATCTGTCAGTAAACCTGTCCCTTGGTTGACTGTGAAAAGAAAACATTTATTCTACTATAAACAGAAGCTGCCTTCTCACCTCCGTCTCCTCATCTGAAACTTCTTCTGCTTGAAGAGGAGCCGGAGCCACCTGAGACAAAAACACGTTTTTTTTTCAAATCAAACAAAAATTCATGACAAAATTAAACATTTTAATGTTGTTTTTGCACACTTATATACTCACCACTGCTGAAACGACCGGGCGAGACTAAACAAAGGAATATTAACAGAGATCAAAGTTTAGTTTTGGACAAAATACTGATTGTAAAGTTTAAATGAATGAACTTACAGGAGCGTTGGCTGCAGGAACGAAAGGGTTTCCAGCTAATCCCTGAAAAAAAATATTATTAGTAGTATTAGTTCATTATAATGTGAAGTGATGAGCTGACCACTGATATTCGTTCAGGCAAGAAATAAGTCATCCTTACCGACTGCTGGTAGAGCCGGTATATCTCCATCAACCTCAGGGCCTCATTAGCATGAGCCGAAACCTGCTAAAAAAAAAAAAAAAGAAGATGACGTCCTCAGACATGAGCTGAAATAAAGTCAATTATTCCTCTCTCTCCCAGACTCCCTGCATGCTGTTTAATTGATGACACGTCCAAAAAAAAGTGATGTGAGAAGTCAAAACTTCACAGAAAAGTGAGTAAAATCTCCTCCTACCTCACTGCTTTCACTGTCTGGTACCTAAAATTAAAAAAAAAGATTAAAGTTAGCAAAGACTGCTCATTGCAGAGTCCTTAAGAAAGATGGTTTAAAACGATCTGGTAAAAGTCACAGGGGCAAAATTTAGATTTGTATTGGAGAAATGTGAACACTATTTTGGGATACCCAATAGTAAAAGATTTTAAGACAATGTGTCTTGGAAACTAAATAAAGTGTTTTGAATAAATACGCATTTGATTAAAATTCTGTTAACTGCCTGCAAAAAAGCTATAACAAGGAACTGGTACCAGATATCTGCTCCCGCCATACAAAAAGGGCTGAATATTGTTAGAGAAATTTATGAGATGGAGCGAATGACTTCCATTCTTAAACCAAAAAAATACATTTTTTATGTATAAGTGGGAAAAATGGACACAGAATGACACCTAAGAAAAGACACGAGAAAACTCAATACCATTAACAGAGGAATTTCTATAGACACCTGCAACCCAGATTAATTTTTTTATTGTTATTTTTTCATTTTATTTTATTGTTATGTATATTTATATATGCATACTTTTAAATGTTCACCCCCTTTTGTTTTGTGAATTATTACTGTAAAGAGAAGGCTGCTTAGGCTATCATAATCTGGAAAATGTATGTGGTACATCTTTGAAATGTTACCTACTATTGAAACTGTTAATAAAAATTAAAGTGGAAAAGAAAAACTCACAGGGGCAGCAAAGGTTGTGGCCAACAGACACATCAGGAACACAGACTGCTTCATTATGACGTCTTCATACAGAAAAGAACAGAAACTCACTTTAAGTACTTTAATTCATAATAACGATGATTTAGTATTTAATAAACAATAGAAAAATATCATCTGCAGGACACAAATCATGACGACAGAGCTTTATTTGTAACATAGATATAAAACAATGTCTCACCTTTTCTTCTGGGCTTGGGGAAACCGTCAACACGTTCCTCCTCAGATATGAAACAGTCTAGATCATGTCCCACACAGATGCCCTTTATATCCTGTAATAGCCAATCAAATGCAGTAAAATGTGTGCAGCTGTGCGTTTGAAGAAGACTCCTTACATGTCAAAACTGAAAAAAAGGAATGTGGTGTAGGGGCCCTTGTTAGGGTTAATTACACGCTGTGCAGGTATGCTTAGCACACACTCTCATCTTTATTGCCCTCAAACCAAAGATAATTAAAACAAAGAGTTTCTGTATCGAGAGCCAAAAACAACTCTTTGTTACAAATACAGAATATAAGAGTACTGGCTTAAAGAAATGATTAATGTGCAGTTTAGCAGTAGTTAAAAGCAGAGGTGTCCTCAACTGCAGCAGTAAAATGCAACTAAAACATTAATGAATGTATCCGTCTTTTATATAAAGTTACATGCCGTAACAAACGACAGAGCAGCTAAATTTAGCTTGTGCTGGAACTATATATGCATTATTTCATGTGTCTTAACTTCCAGCGTACTTAGGATTGTTTTAGTACTCTTACTTCAGGCAAACAATATACAGTCTCTCGCTACTTCGCGGTTCAACTTCCGCGGATTCACTCTTTTGTGGTTTTTCAAAGTAAGATTGTACAAGAGACCAAAAATTGTACATGACACATGATTGTCAACTTTATTATTACTCTCGTGATTGGGATAGTACAGGATACTGTACAATAAAAAGTTAACCAAATAATATAATTCGAACAGGCGCTGTCATTTGGTAGTTTTCTCTCAATAAGCCTACACTGTATCCCCGCTCAAAACGACTACATTTCCCAGAAGCCAACAGTGCCCCTACCCAGAAGCCCCAATGTCTTCTGCTGAAATGGAGAAAAAGTTTTGATCCGATCTAAAAAGTTCGGTCCTTATTCATAGTGAATTCGGTGCCCGGTGGATGCAGAGAGCCGCATGGAACCGACCAGGAACTGGACATGGACTGGACCTCTTGACTCATCAGTGAATCTGAGTGCCACCTGCCAGCCCTTGAGATGTTCCGAATGGGGAGGTGCTCCCCAGAGGTCCGGCATTCTCTCCGAAGCCCACCGGGATTTCCCACATCCAGATTTAGACTCCATCTTGACCACCATATGGTTCCGTGCTGGTCCTCCAATTGTCCTGCTCCCTCCAAAAGTGTTGTGGTGCTCAACGGCTGCAGAGAGTCGACCAGAACTGGCAGGGTAGGACCGGCAGGGTAGGTCTGTCAAAATAGAACAAAGTCAGACTGGAACCGAGCTACTGTTCTGCAGAGCTGGTGAGTAAAATTTAGTAGTTACGTATATGTATGTTGTTAAAATGACGTAGTTTTAAGAGTTTAGAACATTGCAAAAGTGTGGGAAGGGTTTATAAAGCCTTAATATATACTGTATATAAACACTAAAATAATATGAATTTAATTTGTAACGCACTTTTCATTAACAAAAATCTCAAAGTGCTATATAAATGTAACATCCCTACTTTGTGGATTTTCACTTATTGCGGGGGTCCTGAACATAGCCCCCTCAATAAACGAGGGACTACTGTACAGATGCTGGTCATAAAATTAGAATATCATGAAAAAGTTGATTTATTTCAGTAATTCCATTCAAAAAGTGAAACTTGTATACGATATTCATCCATTACACACAGACTGATATATTTCAAATGTGCATTTCTTTTAATGTTGATGATTATAACTGACAACTAATGAAAACCCCCAAATCAGTATCTCAGAAAATTATAATGTGAAATGGTTCAATTTTGAAGAGACCTGGTGCCACACTCTTATCAGCTAATTAACTCAAAACACTTGCAAAGGCCTTTAAATGGTCTCTCAGTCTAGTTCTGTAGGCTACACAATCATGGAGAAGACTGCTGTCTTGACAGTTGTCCAAAAGATGACCATTGACACCTTGCACAAGGAGGGCGAGACACAAAAGGTCATTGCTAAAGAGGCTGGCTGTTCACAGAGCTCTGTGTCTAAGCACATTAATAGAGAAGTAAAGAGAAGCAAAATATGTGATAGAAAAAAGTGTGCAAGCAATAGGGATAACCTCACCCGGGAGAGGATTGTGAAACAAAACCCATTCCAAAATGTGGGGCAGATTCACAAAGAGTGGACTGCAGCTGGAGTCAGTGCTTCACGAACCACCACGCTCAGACATATGCAAGACATGTGTTTCAGCTGTGGCATTCCTTGTGTCAAGCCACTCTTGAACAAGAGACAGTGTCAGAAGCATCTCACCTGGGATAAAGACAAAAAGGACTGGACTGTTGCTGAGTGGTCTGAAGTTATGTTCGCTGATTAAAGTAAATTCACATTTCCTTTGGATATCAAGGTCCAAGAGTCTGGAGGAAGAGAAGAGTGGAACATAATCCATGTTGTTTGATGTCCAGTGTCAAGTTTCCACAGTCAGTGATGGTTTGGGTGCCATGTCATCTGCTGGTGTTGGTCCTCTGTGGTTTCTGAGGTCCAAGGTCATTGCAACCATCTCCCAGGAAATTTTAAAGCACTTCCTGCTGCTGATCAACTTTATGAAGATGCAGATTTTATTTTCCAACAGGACTTGGTACCTGCACACAGTGCCAAAGCTACCAGTACCTGGTTTAAGGACCATAGTATCCCTGTTCTTAATTGGCCAGCAAACTCACCTGACCTTAACCCCATAGAAAATCTATGAGGTATTGTGAAGAGGAAGATGCGATACACCAGACCCAACAATTCAGAAGAGCTGAAGGCCACTATCAGAGCAACCTGGGCTCTCATAACATCTGAGCAGTGACACAGACTGATCTACTCCATGCTACGCCACATTGCTGCAGTAATCCAAGCAAAAAGAGCTCCAACTAAAAGCTGCCACATATTCGGGGGTACTTCACTCTGCAGAGGTCTGCGCGTACTCTAGGCAGACTCAAAGTGGATGCCTGCAAGCCAAGTCCTTGCAAAGATCAATTTTTATGACTGTGTTCGCATACTCAGTGTTGCACAATAAACTGCCTGGCGATGGACTGTTTGCAACACTAATGTATTAAATTCCCCTTCTTCATCCCTTGTCTGGTCTAATGGCCTTTTATTTTATTTTTTATTGCCAATAGGCAAGCGGTCTCTTCCTCCTCGTCTGTTGACGCCATGACTGAAATTGTGAGAAATTAAGGAACTTATCATGAGAGAAATAAATTCAGGTCCAACATGGCTGCGGGAGGGTCTGGAGATTTCCTGGTGGGCCGGTCTGATGAGTGAGCTGCAGGGCCAGAGCTCTATGGTTTTTTGTTTGTTTGTTTGTTTGTTTTTTAGAACTTTTTATTAACAACATATAAACACAGAACACCGCTGCCACTGCTCCTGGGCTGCCAGCTATCTGTCCCCATGGCCACCTTGCAGCTCTCTTTTTTTTTTTTTTGACCTGTCAATCAATCCAGTAGGTGTGTCAGTAAATGACCAATCGGCAACCTCAATTTGTCCCAAAGGTAAACGCCACTTGCCTGCAGCGCTGGGCTGCAGCCCATTAGAGCGCACGCTCGAGTATGAAGTCTCAACTGTCTGCAGACAGTGCGCGCAGAGTCCACATGGCTCACGGAGTACACACTGTACACCCGAGTATGTGGGAGCTTTAAGTATTGAGTGCTGTAGATGCTCATATTTTTCATGTTCATACTTTTCATGTTCATACTTTTCAGTTGGCCAACATTTCTAAAAATCCTTCTTTATATTGGTTTTAATTAATATTCTAATTTTTTGAGATACTGAATTTGGGGTTTTCATTAGTTGTCAGTTATAATCATCAACATTAAAATAAATAAACGTTTGAAATATATCAATCTGTGTGTAATGAATGAATATAATATACAAGTTTCACTTTTTGAATGGAATTACTGAAATAAATCAACTTTTTTATGATATTCTAATTTTATGACCAGCACCTGTAGATATTTTTTGCAGGAGGATTCATTTTCAAATGTTTTTTTTTTTTTCATACAAAGATTAAACAAAGTTACTTTACCGTTGGTGTGTAGGCCTAAGTGCTCTCTCTCTCTCTCTCTCTCTCTCTCTCTCTCTTACACACACACAAACACACACAGCTAATGAGAAGCTCGAGCCTCTCGTTGTGTTTGCTTTAGCTGGTGTGGCAGCTCATAACAGTGATTTTTGGCACTGCAGGTCCATTACTCTTGTTTTGATTTTGCTGGTTCCAGATCAGATAATGAAAGACTCCAACCTGCAAAGGTGTTTCCCAGACAATCTGGACTCAGATCTGCTGAAACAACGAGTTTCCACTCAAAGATAATAATCGCTTAATTAATTCTTCAAAGATCTGCTGCGGTGGATTAGTTTTTGAGGTTATAAGGTGATTATTGTCTGGTCTAGCAGGAATACTTTTCTCTAACCATCTTAATTAAACTGCTTGTCTTTAGCAGAGCAACAGCAGCCTAATTAATATTTCTGATCTGCTGACTCAAGCTTTTGGTGAGGCAATATTTAAGGTATTCACTGCTGTGGAATGAAGATCTGTTTGTCAAACTCTGATTGGAAGGCTCAGCTGTTTCCAGCACAGATTTTGTGGTTATGCATAATGAAAACCACCTAAATTTAGAAACGGTTCCCAGAGCACCTGGGCACCCAGTCCTGACATCCTGTAAATCATTTCTGGAGATGGAGACTCCATGATTAAAAGTGACAGAAAAATCAACAGAAACAGGAGCTCTACGTACCTGATTACTGCAGGATGTGCACAAGACCGGCCTGATGAAATAAGGTGGTATCTGTGGCTCTGAACTTCGTTCTCCTGTTTCTGGGCTTTCATAAAAACCACAACATCGCTCATCCTCAAACACGAGCATCTGAGGCCTGGAAACATACTGATCCAGGACAGCATCACTCAAGTTGGATTTTGTAGGAAGTCTTTGCTTCAGCTGTCTGATGGCACATAAAACTGACTAAGATCTTATTCATGTTACTCAGAGTCAAAGACTTTTATGTGTCCGTCCAAAGACAGATGGATTTTGGTTC